TTTATATTTTTTTTAATATTTTTTTTCTATTCATATATTTGCAATGTGAGTCTTAAAATGAAGAAGTTGGAGAAATAACAGGTATTATAAACACCTCTATTACTAGGCAGTTCCAGGACACTTCAGAGATATTCCATCACTCCAAATTATACTTAAGTCTTTTCAACAGAGTGGCTGGGGGAAAAAAAACCAAATAGCTTTAAATCATAATCTTGACTGAATTGAAAAAAAAAAACCCAACCCAAAACCCCCAAAATCCATAAAATTTCAAAAAAACTATTGTTTCTTCACTAAACGCATTGGCTTTGGAGGGCTTTAAACAATCAAAGTATTTAAGAGTCTAGATACATACATGTAACAACATAAGTTAGCATCAACTGCTTCTAATGATCATATTTTTTAATACTAAGAAGTGGCAAATGATTTATTCCTTTTACTCGTATTCAAATTTACATCAGATATGTGCACATAAAAAATTGACTTCAGCTAGAATATACAAACTAGGCATTTCATCCGATTTTCCTGCAGAGTCAATGATCGGTAACAAAGACTCCAAGATTTCTGAAGATACTGAAACATACTTTTTGTTGTTTGGAAGATATAATAGAATCTTCCAAAGTATTTTAACCAAATTAGGCACTTTCCCTATCAATTTTGGTATCCAGCTGACACTGAAAAAATTGTCCTTTCCTAGTTTCTCAGCTTCAAACAGATGAACTTTGATTAAAATAGTCCGAATGTAAAGAATATCTCATCAGGACTTGCTGCCAAACTGGAGATAAAAATAAATTATAGCGTAAGATCTTCTGCAAGATAAAAAACTATATTTGAAGAAATGGAAAGATCAGCATCTTCTTTGTGGTAAAAGCTGAAAACAGCATGAATACAAACTTAATTCAGTCCATGCTCCTAAGACACTTCTGCAGCTGAACTGACCTAAAAGATAAGGATATTTCTCCCCAACCAGTTAAGTATAATTGCAAAAACAGGACTCCCTTTCCACAGAAAAATTTGAGAATGCTTACTTTCATTTGCTTTACGTTAATAGATCCTAGTAAAATTTAAAATATTACAAATTGCTACCTCAAAATGTAAGTAAAAACTGATCTATAATTTTAAAATCAATTTTTACCTGCTTTCTTAAAGTTCATATTTTAAAAAAACACCTGCTTATTTTCAAGCAGATAGTACTATGTACTGAATTGAACACTAGATGGCATAATCCACCACTGTTTAAAATTAGCTCTTTCACTTTGCCATTAGCAAAGGTCAAAGGTTGAAAATACAAGCCTATCATACACATTACACTGCTACTAACTTCATAATTAATTTGTGAAACTCCTTCTACTTTTATCTTAATGAGCAATTTGGTAATCTTCCTAATAAGTGCAGTGTCAGTTCAAATTCAGTCCAAAAATTAGATAGTTGAGTCACTAAAAAAAAAAAAATAAAAAAAAATTCAGATCACGAAGTCTCCCCACTGGAAATCTCTTCACTCCTATCATTTGAATTCCAAAGGAGGAAAAAAAACCAAAACAAAAAAACACCAAACCAAACCCCCAAACCCTCAACAGTGTTCATAAACAAATCACTATAGTCTTAATACAGAACAAGAAGACATTAAGAGTAGAACAGAAACACAAATAAAGTTGAGTTAATTTTCATTTTAACCTATCTATAGACATTGGCAGCAAACAAGTGTTTTGAAAAATGTAATTCAATTTAATGTAGTTAACTAGTTAAAGGAACTCCATTAAAAAACAAATTTCTCATAGCAGTTGACAAACAGTATTTAATGAGTCAAATACATTCTGTGCAGGGAAACAAAATGAAAGAAAAACCTTCCTGTTTGAAAAAAAAAGATGCTGAATAAAACACCTGTCCTGCGAATCATTCATTGTGGTTAGTGTACAAAGTGACTGAAGTGTGGAAATCAGAGACAGTTGAAGCAATTAGAAGCTATCAGGCAGCACAATATCCACCCGCCAGCACAGGATTTTTCCTTTACAGCATTTTTTCCAGTGCTTGATCCAAGATGAATTAACTGAAGACCGTAAGAGATCTGAACACCTGAAATTAATTTGTAACCCAGCATCTCAATCTGTAAGTCCAGACTGGATATTGCATTACAGATAGCATTATTGCTCAAACAGCAGCTACAGGCCTTGGATAAAAATAGAGGTTCCTTGAACTATGCCACATATGGAGAAATGTGGACTGCTTCATAATAGTCTCCTCTAGATTTAAAACAAATTTTAAAAGGAAAAAACAACAAACAAAAGATATTCATGGTGACACTACTATTTCTCCCTCCTCAGCATATTCCTAGATTAATAATCACGATGGCCCTCCAGAAACAAAATTCAATTTTTTTCACAATGAGAACAATCCGCCATTGGAATAATCTCCCCAGGGAAGTGGTGGGTTCCCCAACATTGGACACTTTTAAGATTCAGCTGGACAAGGTGCCGGGCCATCTTGTCTAGATGGTGCTTTTGTCTAGATGGAGCTTTTGCCAAGAAAGGTTGGGCCAGATGATCCTTGAGGTCCCTTCCAACCTGGTAGTCTACGATTCTATGATTCAAATTGGATAGGTTAAGTCATTTAGCTCCAAATAAATTTAAAGTCCATGCCAGAACTGAGCACGAACTCGTTTCTTCCCTGGATCAAGTCCAGCATCCTAACCATCTGACTAATTTTCCTTCCAGGGATAATTATATAATAAATTATAAGTGGTAGATATACGCATAGAATAAATACAAAAGGCATGACCACATGGTATTACAGTTTAGAATTCTCCATCTACGAACTGGGATGCGCAAGAAAATTTCACATCAGACTCCCTATGTCCATTCTCTTTTCTAGATTAGTAATTAACTATAAAACTTTTGAAAAAGAGATAATTGTTTCTTTCACAAGCCAACTTTTTTTTTTTTTTTAAATAAACATTTTTCAAAGATAAAAGCACATCTCTCAGCTGTTGGCTGCAATTCTCCAAGCCTTGACATTTGTACTGTAAACTGCTCAGCACATTAGACTTTACTGGATGTTATATCACAAACTCTCCTGGGGAAGAAAAGCATCTGCTATAACCATATTTGGTTGGAATATCTGCTTTAATCCTCAGCTAAGAAATCAGGATGCCAGGCATTTTGGAGAGAATAAAAATTTTCTGTAATAGACAGGAAAGTCTGTTCTTACAGAAAATGTAGTCAACTCCTATGAAGACCATGCTGCCCGTAACATGAAACAGAAAGAACCTTACCTAGCATAGCTTCTTCTGTACCAGGCAGTAGAGGATGTGATACCATGCTCCCATCCCGTACAGCTGCCAATGTAGTCAAACATTTTCCATAGAGACTATTGATTTTTGAAACAGAAAAGGTAGTGAACTGACTTTGACAGAAGAGGAGATACTTTTTCCAGAGCTCTGGATTATTGGGATGTAAGAAAATTAGCTTCTGCCATTCCTTGATCAATGCTGGTGGTTCCCAGAATTCTGTGCAAATCTTCAGCCTGGCAAGTTTCAGTTCCACATTACCTGGATTGCTTTCAATTGCCCTCTCTAAAATAGCCAGTTTCTTTTCTAAGATTAACTTCAGTGATTTTCTTCTTACTTCCTGCTCTCCCTGGCTGGCATAAAGGTTAGGTCCTCTCATTAATTCATCCTTAAAACAAAAGAAAAATAATGACAACCTTAGGAAGAATCATCACTAGAATCATGAGAAGAATGATGATATTTGTGACAATGAATTAACCGC